CGGCTTGCGAGTGGGATAAGTGGGTTTGCTAGTCGAAGGGGTCGGCTTGCGAGTGGGATAAGTGGGTTTGCTAGTCGAAGGGGTCGGCTTGCGAGTGGGATAAGTGGGTTTGCTAGTCGAAGGGGTCGGCTGGCTAGACGAAGGAGTCGGCAGCGATCCGCTTAATTCAGGGTACCAGATGTTCTCGGCCACGTTGCACACTCCCTTGCTACTCATCCCTCGCTTCAAGTATATGTACCCTTTTTCACCCCATTCCGTCCCCCACGAGTTCTTGATCTTGAAGTACTCGTCGTTGTACCCGACGGCAATCACAGCATGGTCGGCTTGACCCCCAGGACACTGAGATACGATGCCACTCTTGTAGTTGCGCCACACTGCGTTGCCAGATTCGACAGCCACGGCGGCAGCCTGGCTTTGCAGAACTGTCATGAGCGAACTCTCACCAGTTGTTCTCTTGGTTTTGCCAATGCTCAGTTTCTTCTTGGTGCAGCTGGTTTGGCAGGTACCGCTTTGACTACCTTTGCCGGACTTGTACGGGTAAGACTCTTCGGTGCACACGCCTTGTTGCATCCAGTCGATGGCTGGTAAAGGATTGCCACCGTTGCAACCAGAGTTCTTTTTGTCACAGCTGACCAATTGTTGCTCAGATAAGTCCAAGAGTTCACCCGTGGCAATGCAGTGTGCAGTCTCCACCGTCCCGATCGAGGCAAAGGCCCAGCACGACCCACACGAGCCTTGGTTGGTAATCGGAGAGTTGCACTTAGATGTCGACCAGTCCGCTTCAGAAGCGCGCTCATTTGCCAACTCGGGCAAGGGCGCGACGTTGGTAAAGTTTTGCGGATTAAACGATGTCATCAAGACACTCTTGAACTCGTCGTTGGTCAAGAGGGCGAACTGGTTGAACGGACTGAACTGAGCGTCGGGGTTGGCCAAGGCTGCTTCTTGGACGTCTTGGACAGTGTTGTGGAAGCGCTGAAGTTCTTCGACGTAATGGCCGTTGATTCGTGCGGATTTCACAGTGACTGGGGGAAGGAGTCCGTTGGCTTGTGCAATGGGGCCATACAACACCTTCCACTTGTCCAGTTCATGTTCGAGGGCGGATACATCGGCCTTGCTAAGCGATCCGTACGATTGTCTGGCGGATGTCGCAGTAGTTGCGAGTGTAGTGAGGACGATGAGATCAAACTTCATATCGCGTTGATGGGGTAACTTGAACAATGTAAATCGTATTCGAAGTCGAGGGAATTTTTCTATGCATCGGACTCGTTGGATGCCGGATGTATTTTTCGGCTCCAAGTATGGCCGGGGCATGTGATAGAGGACCATGCGTTGAGGGATTCTGAAGTATATACGGTAGTGAGCAATCATCGAACAGTAGACGGTGTGACTACTCAAGGGGGAAAATGTATCCATCCCTAAAACTCCATTGAGTCCTCATATTATTTTCGTGTGCTTGAGTTAACAGTAAAGTTATACTATTAATAGTTCCAGTACCTAATAACGCAAGGCGTACTGTGAATTACCGGTAACCTTACAGTATATTACTATTACCAGTAGTAGAATCCACGTTCCTGCCAATATCTATTTTATACGCGTTCTCTATTGGATTCTCAGTGCTCCAAATCAGTCGTGATCATGTGTCCTGAATGGGAATACGTAAATCTGAGCCATAGATTTGTTCGTGACTTGATGCCCAGTTCGAAGTACCGATTTTCCGGAGACTTGACCAATCAAATCACTCCGTGTCGCAGGAATAGTATTGCTTTTGGCCCGGACGTCGTTAACCTCCTCGTGGTCTCCGGGAGATGTGGGAGGCAGGAAACAAACACATCACTATGAAGAATTAAGGGTCCTTGATTCATTCAAATCATGGTGTACCATTGTCGAGGGAATACAAGCAATTTTATTCAAGTTGTGACGTGCGACTCTAACCAGTAACCAAAGCTGCCACTTCCACGAAATCAAACGGCGTGTAAACGAGCGCGACATTATTATTCGCTTGAACACCTTTATGTTGATATTTGTATTAAGTATGCGTATATTTATTCATCTCCACAACTATTTACGTTTTGAACGATTTATATATCCTGCAAATTGTGCATGCGTACATGCGAGAAAGGCGCCATACAGGTCAGCGATTTCTCAATGATTACTGCACAACGGATCACGAAACTCTCCATTCATCATCTATCAAGAACACCTTATTGCATGTCGCCTGAATCAACAGCGCTGCAGAGAAAGATAACTTCGAACTTGCCAAATTCGTCGTACTGTATTTCAAGAACAAGCGTGTACATGCAGGTTAGATGCCTCATGCCAGAGAGAGCTAGTGCACAGACCATGCTGCATAGGCTGGGCTAGTAATGGACCATCTTGTAGCACGATTACAGTAGTATTGCTGTATGTACACAGCTCGAGAAAAGCGTAATCAAAGTTCGTCCATTTTCGTTATACATTTGCGCATGTCGACATGTATGTATGTGTACCACAAAAACATGCATACCGTATATGCAATAAAAAAATTCATCCGCAAAAGTAATGAAATATCCGGAACTGCTTGAAACGGCGCGAGTTTCTCAATGCAAGACCGCAAAGAGCGATAGAAAGCGTGTCAGTACAGCAGTCAATGTCCCTCTCCAACTAGTTGGATGACTGCGAGGTACCAGATTTTTCTTTCGCCAACTATGAATGCCTCGATTTTCGCCTTACGTTATTTTGTGTTTCGTCCAGTTCCTGCATCTCCCCGGGTACAGTAAGTACCCTACCCACCGAATAAATATATAATTCGACCAATAAGCGTTGAGTAAAAGTATAGTGTCCTGAGACAATCAGTACTTCGCACAGCTTTTTGACACTTTTGGTCAATATCTATACTGTACTTCGAACTGGCCCTAAGATGTTACGCGTAACGAACGACTTGGAGCGCAATGTTTCTCCAAAAAAAACGAGGTGAAGTGTGACTACAGTAACATCCCCAGGATGCTTTCGATGGCATTGTCTTGACACGGAGGACTTTGTTTACAACCATTTAGCTTGTTTAAAGGTCAAGCCTCGATATTGAAGTATCATTACCCCACTCATTATAGATCCGGTGTCGCTTAACGATACTTTAGATTGTAGGTAACGGAGTAAATTCTTGGGAGCCGTTTCGCCCAAACATACAGTAGGTCAGATGAATATTATTATTCGAGTACAACCCTTGCGAGTATTTTTTCAAGTTCACTGTATAATATGTGAATGCTCTAGTACAAGTCTCATTAGTTTATACGTAGTATAGGAGTACTGTACAGGATAAGTTGGCCAATTTCGGTCTGAAATATGTCGAGTGGTTATGCAGGGTTCTGGGGGAAGTTCGCGTCGGGTGGGTCATCTACCGCGCAGCTAAAGATGGACTGTACGTTTCTACACATCGATATAATTCGCACATTTACGTTATCCGTGTAGTGGGGCAACGGTGGTGTTGTTTCTCCTTGGGGGTACGATGCAGTGTACAATAGCGCATCGGCATAGCTTGTACGGCACTGGAAGCTGCGGGAAATGACTAACGTAGCCATCCTCGGCGACATAAGCGAGGATAAACGTATGTCTAGACGAAGGAGTCGAGTTTTGGCACCTCGTCAGCACGAAACCCCCGTCGTTTAACGTGTACGAATAATGCAAAAATCACGTTGTTTATCTTGTCAAATCACGGATTTGGCACAATATCTTGGATAGATTCACCACCATGAGTACGGAAACGATACAATGAATAGGGCAATTCAAACTTTTGGGGCATTTAGTCAATAACGTTAGGGATAAACGATGATTGGGACGAAGGTTGACCATGCAGCCACCATGATGACCGTATACACAGCGAGTTCGTCGATTTATCACCACTACCAGTGTGAATTAAAGTTTGTGCCTCTGATTTGAATCCAGTTTTCATCAAGCTGGTGGTGATACCGGTAGAATTGTAGGACAAACTCAACCTTCAATGCTGTACTGCAAACTCATAAATGATAAAAGTACTTCGAAGTAAAAGTCGAGTCATCAGTGGGATTTGAACCCGCAACCTCCAGCATGAAAGCTCCACACGTTACCGTTAGGCTGTGCTGACACATTATTTCACACTGCAGTCATCATAAAGCTTCATCATAGTATTCCATGATGCCCAGATTTGGAAAGGTCGCCCAAACATGGCAGCCAACCTTGCCAACTTCCAACGAGGCAGCAACGTCCAAGACATGCTCTGTGTGTTCCTGCGTGATACAGTAGCGCACACAGCTTGGCGCGGACGTTGCTGTCTCTTGGCTGTGTCGAAGGAATGAATACATGCTAGGGTCTCTGGCGATTCGCCAGCGTGCTGTAGGAGGCTGCTCACTTGCAGTGTGAGCGTCCAAGCCGTTAAGGCTAGTGGTGGTTCGTTTATGTGTGCGTTATGTGTGCCTTATGTGCTCATTGTACGTAGCGAGTACATGAAATAAGCAGATTCACAGCATTCAAAAAGGTGGTTCAACAACTAGTGTCAACAAAACTCGTTTGAAAGCAGCGGATTCATTGCTGCGACAGGGTCAATAATGAAATATATTCATCAAGCTACCACTGATAGGAATTATAGTGCTAATAGTTGCTTGCTGCTATAATGAAGACCGAAACAAGGGAAATACTTTGCGTGTAGTGTAATGTGTGATCCCATGTGCGCAGAGTAATCTATCCGATGGAATGGATTGATCCTTTAGGAGTGCCGTAGTCTTACCGGTAGTCGGTGTTGACGCTACATGTGAAGTTTCGTAACCAAGCTACCTCGCCTTTGAGGTCCACTATGCATAGCCACCGTAATTTTCAAGCAGTCCCGCTGCTATGCACTCCACCAAGTATGCTAGTTAGTAAAGTCCGCTAGCTGCCAAAGCAGCTAGTACGCGGCCGAGGCCATTAAGTGCCCGCTGAGCGATTTTAACTTTACAGCGTAATAACAATAACAAGTATGCTAGTTAGATATTCCTCCGTCCGTTGTTCCATTTCTTATCTAACGTTAGTGCAA